TCTCACAATTTCAATGAGATACTTATGATTTTGTTCTTTTGCAGATATTGCATATAAGAAGTATTTTTTTCCTCTGTCTGATCCTCCTGCAAATGTCCAGTGCCTTTTGGTTTCATAATTTGTTCCCCAGCCCACTTCAGTCCCAAGACACAGAATCACTTCAATGTTTGAGATGCTTTGAGAAACATTTATTTGAACTATTTGATCCAGCCAACTAAGTGTTTTTACAACCTCCTTTCCATAATATCAGGCTATGTAGCCTTATCTTTGGCCATAGAAACTTTGCACAAAACACTTATCATCAGCTCCTTGACGACAAGTGAAGGTTTAGGTAGCTTCTGTACTGCTAAACAAGGAGTGTCTTATCCTTCCTTAATTTCTTCTGGGAATGCAAAACCTACCCCAGTAGTACCTTTGCTTTGCTTCCTTTTTTTTTTTTTTCTTTTCTTTATCCTAATATCTCTTTCTCCTAATTATTGCAGAAATTGTACCTAGAATCTAAATTGGTAGGGAAAGTTTTGTGTAAGTACACAAGGACACCTGCACTTTTAGTAAGAGAAGCTAAGGTTGGGGAGAAATCACAAAATCCCCCTCAGTTTATGACAGCCTTCTCTCTCTTCTCCAGAAGGGAAGCAGATAAAGGCACAGTTCTTCCAGGTTGAAAGTTCCTGGCAAATCATGGGTTTTTTAAATAAATGTTTATTTACTTATTTTGAGAGAGAGAGAGAGAATGGGGGAGGGGCAGAGAGAGAAGGAGAGAAAGAATTCCAAGCAGGCTCTGCACTGTCAGCACAGAGCCCAACACAGAGCTGGATCCCATGAACCATACAATCATGACCTGAGCCGAAATCAAGAGTTGGATGCTTAATCGACTAAGCCACCTAGGTGCCCTGGCAAATCACATTTTTTATTCCCTGAGGTCTTATTTACAGAGCACTTGGCTTCTTTTCTTCCTTTTCAATACTAAAAACTATTCTGATTTATCTTCTATTATTCTCCTTTTTCTATACCTCTATCCAATTCCTTTATTTTACCCCATCCTCTCTTTCCTTCTAATGCCAGAACTCTGTATTTTCCAAGTATCCAACATGTTTTAACTGTTTTAGCGATTCAAAGTACTAACTATCCTTTTCTTTGGATCATTTAGAGATACCCTATGAAAGACACCCTTCCTAAATGTTCCAATGTGTTGCTAACAAAGTGGAAGTGTTGCAGGAGAAAGTTCTCAATGTTTCTTGTTAATTTTTGGTTGTTGAATATAGGTAAGATATTTTATACTTTGGCAAATCCAGATTAAATGAGTGCAATTAATGTCAGCTGAATTTAAATGTCAGCTTGAGGTAAGGGAAGAGATGTAAACAAAAATTAGGAATTTATTCTTAAATGTAGCACCCTAGGGAGGCAGTTTGCATAGTGGTTAAGAACTAAGACCCTAGAGCCAGACTGCCTGGGTTTGAGTGCAGCTTTATCCCTTACTGACTGTGTGACTTTGGGCACCTTTCTTATCTTTTCTGTGCCTCAGCTTCCCCATGTGTAAAGTGGAGGATGCTTTCACCTCATGGGGTTGTTACAAGGATTAAATTAGTTTATAAAAAGCATTTATTATTGCCCGGTAATAGTAAGCACAACATAAATATTAGTTACGATGACTCAAAATTACAGTAATGAATAGATCGAGGCCCCAGAAATATTTTTAGTTTTTAGAAGTATGAGTTTTTTGTAAGGTTTCTGATTTTTGAAAGATCACAAATGTGGTCTGGAGTACCCCAAGAAAAAAGTTTGGCTTAATAACTGATTAATGAGTTTTTTAAAAAGAAACCATTTTGTGTGACCCAGTACAGAGTGTAAAGTTCACTAACAGGAGATGTCTGGTTGGCATAAAAACCATTAAAGAAAATCCTGAGCATGATGTTAAACTCAACTCGGAAACACATGCTTTACATTATTGTCCTATCAGTTCTCAAGTTCCTGGCATATGTCGCTGAAGCAGACTTTTTTTTTTTCAAGTAGTCATTCTCTCTTATTGCTTTTGACTTAGATAAACGACCTTCTAACTAACTATTGGGAAACTTTTTGTAGGCTTTATTTGTGATTGTTATTTAAAGTGATAGCTGTGAAAGATTGTCAAAATATCTTTAGCATTGTGCTTTTCAAAAAGAAAGGATAATTCCTTTGAAAATAATAATGAAAAGATAATCAAATCCCAGATATAAGAAGGATAAGGTCTGTGAGCTCATGGATGGCATTCATCTGCCAAGACAGGGAAGTCTGTTTTAGGAGCTAACTGGTTTTGCTTGCTTCATACTGCTGAGTCTACTTGAGTTGCTACATTGGGGGCAAAGTGCACTGGGCAGTGGCCCAGCATTTTACTCTTCCAGCCAGGAAAGACTATAGCAACTCTGCTTCTACAGTCATGGCCAATTCATGCCATCTAATAGTCTGGCTTTTCACTGAAGATGTGAGTAACTTGAATGGTCTAAATATTCGTTAAATATTTAATACAAGTACTACTTTTAATAATATTAATGAGGGGCACCTGGGTGGCTCAGTCGGTTAAGTGTCCCACTTGGGCTCAGGTCATGATCTCCTGGAGCTCGAGCCCCTCTGAGCTGTCAGCACAGAACCTGGAGCCTGCTTCAGATTCTGTGTCTTCATCTCTCTGTGCCCCTCCCCCGCTCATGCTGTGTGTGTGTGTGTGTGTGTGTGTGTGTGTGTGTGTGTGTGTGTCAAAAAATAAATATCAAAAAATTAATAATATTAATGATATTATTAAAACATAATTGATAAATATTAATAAGATTTATGAATAAATATTTTACCTAATAACAACAGCTATTTTGATATTGTCTATACGTGAATTATGGCAGCTTGTAGCCAATATGGAGTTTAATGAAACATACAAAAATAAAGTGCAAATCTGCATTTTGAATTGAAAGCACATTTAAAAGAATTTCAGCATTTATTATTTTTTTAAGAATTTCAGCATTTATTACAAGAGTTAGATCTTCATAATTTGAGAGGCAGCATGACCTGGTGGAGCAAATACAGGCTTAGGAGTCAGACTGATGGGCTTTGAATCCTACTTTGTTTATTTCCTAATTATCTGAGGCTACACCAGTTTTTTAATCCCTCTAATCCTATTTCTTCATATAGAGTGGGGACAATATCTACCCAGAAAACTTTCAAGAATTCAACTAGATACATACATGAAAGAGTGCCTACCTCAGGGAGTGACATTTGACTCCCCCCTCCCCCCAACGGAAAGAGAACCGAACCCTAATTAAACCCTCAGAATAATGAGTATGGTTTTCAGTAAAAGAAAAATTTCATGTGTAAAATGATTACCAAGAAAGTACTCTATAGGCAGTGAGAGTCTATCCTCAGTCACTTTAATAATCACCTTTAGATATTAATTCTATGGTTAACTAAATCTCAAAGTATAGAATTTGGAGGTTTTCCCTATTGTAATGAAAAGATCATTTGTATAGACTGCAAAGAGGCCCAGGACCCAGAAAAAATTCTCTTATTCCTTGGGAGGAAACAAACAAAAACAAAAACAAAAAACCCTCCATTAAGGATATTTGCACTCAGGTCACTAAAAAGTTATGTATAGGAAACCATTACATATGAAATGGGCATCTTGCATCTGTTTCCCAGAGCCTGAACTTGGGTGAAGCCTCCAGGTTGGAAACCATTTTGGGAATAAAGGTTTGAGCCCAGTTAATGCTAGAGGTCATTGAAGACCATCTCCAGGCACCAACCTGTATTTAACAATTTTTTAAAATACAGTTTATTTTATTATTTGTTTTGAGAGACAGAGAGAGAGCGTGTGCACGTGCACGAGAAGGAGAGGGGCAACGAGACAGGGGGAGAAAGAATCCAAAGCAAGCTTTGCACTGTCACCGTGGAGCCCCATACCAGGTTTGAACCCACAAACCATGAGATCATGACCTGAGCCAAAATCAAGAGTAGGATGTTAAACCCACTGAGCCACCCAGGCACCCCTGTATTTAAAGATATGAAATCGACCAGGCACAGATGACGTAAGCAGGCAAGGAGATGACAGATGACCACCCTGTGGGCCTCCTACTTGGAAGCAGAAAGGGGCAGATGGTAGGAACCGAGGTCTTCCCTTGGGGGACCAGACATCCTTGCTCCCTCGGGAGTTCTCTTCACACTCCTAGAAACCCCCAATCCACGAAGAGGGTGAGCTTGGCAGAGGCCCGTCAAGCGGTACCTCCCAGAGGTATCCTCCCTGGACGGCCTCCTGGGAGCCCCAACCGCGTGGCATCAGGAGCCACGGGATGCGCATCTCTGCACCTAAAATGCATCAGGGCCCACTTAGAGCCTTGGGTGCACATCCACGGTGAAGTCACTAACAACCATTACTTCTGAGGCCTGTGTGTCTATTTAGAATTTGAAGAAATTCTTCAGAAATCTGCTACGGTAGGAGGAGGAGGCTCGGTCGAGGTAAAGTTCTCTCAGCCCCGAGCTTGCCGTGGGAGGATGGGAGTGTGTGAAAAACCTCGGGGCTTCCACTCCCCCAGCCTGACTTGATTCTGTCAATTCATCCCTAAAGGTAATGTCAAAGTTGGGGGTAACAGTTTTTAAAACGCAGCGTCATACGGTTGCAAACCAGGCGGAGAAGCAGACGCCTTGAGCATTGCTCAACGTAAGAACTCAAACTTGAAGCCCCGCCGAGGAAAAAACGACCCCGCGCGCAGGCGCACACCGTCCTCCGCCTGCCCGCCTGTCCCGCCCGTCCCGCCCGTCCCGCCCTCTGCCCCTGCTCCGCCTCCAGCCCCGCCCCCTTCTCGACCCCGCCCCTCCCCACGCGCAGATTCCTCGCATCTTCCGCACAGGCCGGCTTCACCTCTGCCTGCACTGCGCCCTCCCGGCGTGGGGCGTCGCTGTATCGGTCTGCGCGCTCGACACAGATACCTCCGGCGCTCGGGCGGGGGCGGGAGGCGGAGCGAAGGCGTAGGGGCGGCGTCACCGCGGGCTTGGGGCGGCCGGCGGCTAGCGGAGGCGGCCGAGTCGGTGGTCCTGGAGTGATGGCTGCCTCGGTGTTCTGCTGCCTGCGGTGCTGCAGGGACGGCGGGACGGGACACATCCCTCTGAAGGAGATGCCGGCGGTGCAGCTGGACACGCAGCACATGGGTAAGGGCCCTCCCTTCTCCAAACCCAACGGCCCACGCCGGGTGGGGCGCGGCGGGTCGGGGGCAGTGAGGGGTCGGAGGGACCACACGCCCACGCGCGGCCCTGCCTCTCCCGGCGCCGCCCTCCGCTCCCTGCTCTCAGTTGCTGCCCTCGATCCCATTTCGTCTCGCGGCGGACTCCACCTCGGCCCTGTTCTGTGTTCAAGGCTACGCAGCCCTGTCTGCCCCTGTCATCGGGAGGTGCTTGTGCGCACCTACCCATTTCCACGGGAATCTCGGAGCTGCCGCCTCCCGAGACTCGTCAGCTGTTCCCAGGTGAGGGGAGCGCCTCTGGTGCTCCTCCTACTGAGTTACTACTAAATTGCCCAAACAGGATTTGTAGCCGCAAATGAATATTAATATAAACATTCTCAGGGGGAAAAAGGGGCGGGGGGAGAAGTAAAAATTGTTCTGAATTTATCAGCATTTCTAAATTTCAAAGTAAATATAGCATCGCTATTTTTTTGATTTAGAATTAAAAGTGAAAGAAAGTAACCTTGATTGTTGGATAAGAAAATAAAAAACTTCACACTGTGTATTTTTTATTTAGGAACAGATGTTGTCATTGTAAAAAATGGAAGAAGAATATGTGGAACAGGAGGTTGTTTAGCCAGTGCCCCTTTACATCAAAACAAAAGCTACTTTGAATTCAAAATCCAGTCCACAGGTCGGTATAATGGTCCTTTACTATTAAAAGTCCTAATTGTTGTAACTATTAAGAGCAGTTCTCGATATATGGAAAAGATTAATGAGGCAATAAAAAAGCACGAAACTTATTTGGAAGATCCTTTTTCCCACCCCTCGGGTGGTTCCAGTTAAATTATACTTTAGGTTCAGTTTTCTTATTTGTAAAATGGGATTACAGGAACTGTAATCCTGCTTCACATGAGTTATACCAATGAAAGTGTTTTAAAGACAGGGCACACAGGATCAGTGTTAGGCACTAGCGTTATTAATGGGTACTAAATGCGCCTTTGGGTACTAAATGTTTTCTTTTGTCAAGCATATAAGGTGTAGACTCTTGATGTTTTATCTTAGCATAAAATCAATCTTATGATCCGTTTTTTTTTCCTCTTAATTCTTGTTAAGATGCCCAAGTTCATTGTCTTCTGAAGCAATCAGCAAATTTAGAATTCTGATAGAAGGCTAATGTTTATACTTCTCATTAAAAACTTATGGAGTTTCTTGAATCATACAACACTTCTGCTTGAGTATTATAATAATGATTAGATAATTTGTAGCCATATTGAATATGGAGAAATATATTTTTAAAGCTTTATTATAAAAAAATTACTAGTGAAATATAGTATGAATAATGTAAGTATAAGTGTAGAATAGGAAAAGTAGAGGGAAGTAAATCATACTTTTACTCGACAAGCTTGAATGGTATAAAGCATCCTTCTGGAGCTTGTTTTCTAAATTAGTTCAAAATACTGATTTTGCTAAGTGTATGAAATAAATATGAATCTGTCCTCCATTCTTTTATAAAATATCTCTGGCTACTAAAATCTTAAGTAAAACATACCTTTTCTCAAGAAAAGCAAATGTTTTCTAGATCCTTGCATCCAGTGCAAATTTTTATGTGGATTTTCTGTAAAGGATGACATCTTCAGTGACATCCCTAGAATAAATACATTGTTGGAGTCTGTAAATTGATCTCTCAATGAAAGCCTGAGGCAGTTATGCCAAAATGTGTCACAGCATGCACAGTTCTTTAGGGGTAAGGAGAGTAACCCTGCCTAGAACTGTTGTCCCATGAAATCAATATTACCTTCTGTTACTCTTAAAATTGTCCCACTCTGGAGAATAAATTACATAGTCAGATTATTTAGGAAGCCCAGACAGTGATATCCAGACATGAAACTTTTTGATAGTCTTGCTCAATTCAGAAAAATTAATCGATTGGCAACATGACCTTGAAACCTTCTTCCATTTATAGATTTTCTCCTAACTGATTTTGATAAAAACTGAGAAGGAAACAGTTTGAGACAAAATCCAGAGCTTTAGGTATTCTGTTTGGCTGCTTAAGAGGAGAGCTGCTTGCTTTAAAATCAGCTTAGACCAAAAGATTTTAAGCCCACTGACTTAAGGCACGGGTAAGAAAATGATTTTACACTTCATCCTTAATTTTCTCCTCTCCATAATTTTGACCAGGTCCTATATTATTTGTCACATATTATATAGATGTAAAAACTAAAGACTAATTTCCCACTTCTCCAAAGTAGTGCTTGGCTGGAACCCTAGGCCTTTTAAATTCAACGTGTAGCTTTTTAAAAACATCTTTCAGAGAGTAGTGATGACGATAATAGCTAACATCTAAAAATACTCTGCTTCACTTAACCGATTGTGGGGGGAATACTTACACTGTTACAAGTGCTTTACTTGATTACCTTGCTATATCTTTTAATAACTTTTTGAAGTCTGTACTGTTAGAATCCCAAGTTCACAGGTGAGGAAGCAGAGAGAGGTTAAATAACTTGCCCCAGAGGACATAGCTAAGCCAAGGTTTAACCTAGTCCTTACAGCTTCAGGGCCCTCTCTTATCTCCTAGGCTGTACTCCATCTGTCGAGAATATAGGGTCGTTTGCAAACTACTTTTAAAAGATTTGTTTTTTTAAAAAATTAATAAAAGATAGTTTAGTGATAGCGTGCCATTTCTTTTAAAAACAATTTACACTCTCTTAAAAACAACCCCTTGTTTCATATTCTTCAGATTTTGGGGGCATTTAAACTATTATTTTTTAGGAATATGGGGTATTGGCGTCGCAACTCAGAAAGTTAACCTGAATCAGATTCCTCTTGGCCGAGATGCCCACAGTCTGGTGATGAGGAATGATGGAGCCCTATACCACAACAACGAGGAGAAAAATAGGCTGCCAGCAAACAGCCTCCCACAGGAGGGAGACGTGGTGGTGAGTTTTCTTGTGGAGTTGCTTTCCACTGTAAATTATTCAACGTGAACGGCTTTTAGTGTATATAGTTTTGCTTGGGAGTTTGTAGTTTGAATTCCGAAGCGCTGGGATTAGATCTAATGAGGTACATGTTCCAGAGAAAGCACTTGATAAAGATGCTGCTGGCTAACCTAACTGCTCTCCTTTCTAGAGCTGCCACTGGCCAGGAAAATTAGTGTGAGCCCTTATTCCCATTCAGGAGAATTAATGACAGCTTGGCTCTTGATCAACATTTCCTGCTTCTCTCACATCAGAGAAATCTTCACCCACAATTTTAAAAGTTTGCTAACCTTCATATTAGAAAATATCAGGGGGGGACACCTGGGTCGCTCAGTAGGTTTAGCATCCAACTCTTTGTTGCCATCAATTTCTTCCAGACTCTTGTTAATGTTGATCTTTTGGCTTCTTCCCATGAATCATGAATGTTTTTAGGCCATGTTTTGAGTGGTGAATCCTCGGGGCACCTGGGTGGCTCAGTCAGCTAAGCGTCCAACTTCAGCTCAGGTCATGATCTCGCGGTCTGTGAGTCTGAGCCCGCATCGGGCTCTGTGCTGACAGCTCAGAGCCTGGAGCCGGATTCCGATTCTGTATCTCTCACTGCCCCTCCCCTGCTCACACTCTCTCAAAAATGAATAAATGTTAAAAAAAAATGTTTTTTTCAATAGAATGGTGAATCCTTTTCAGAAGGTTTTCAATTTACTTCGCCCAAGTCCTTCAGAGGAATCACTATCTATGGCAGCTGTAGCCTTACGAAATGTATTTCTTAAGTAATAAGACTTGAAATTACTCCTTCATCCATGGGCTACAGAATGGATGCTGTGTTAGCAGGCATGAAAACAGCATTAATCTCACATACATTGTCAATGAGCAGTGATATTTTGAAAGGAGCCTTTTGTTCTGAGCAGTAGGTCTCAACTGTGGGCTTAAAATATTCAGTAAACCATGTTGTAAATAGAAGTGCTGTTATCCAGGCTTTGTTGTCCCAGCTATAGAGCACACAGAGTAGATTTAGCATAACTCTTAAGGGCCCTAGGATTTTTGGAATGGTCAATGAGCATTGGCTTCAACTGAAAGTCACCAGTTGCATTAGCCCCCAACGGGAGAGTCAGCCTGTCCTTTGAAGCTTTGAAGTCAGATGTTGACTTCTCCTTTCTAGCTATGAAAGTCCTAAATGGCATCTTCTTGCAGTAGAAGGCTGTTTCATCTACACTGACATCTGTTGTTTGGTGTAGCCACCTTCACTAATTTTAGCTAGGTGTTCTGGACAACTTGCTGCAGCTTTTGCATGAGCACTTGCTGCTTCACCTTGCACTTTTATGTAATAGAAATGGCCTCTTTCCTTAAACCTCATGAATCAACTTCTGCTAGTTTCACACTTTTCTTCTGTCATTTCCCCACCTCTCTCAGCCTTCACAGAATTGAAGAGAGGTAGGGTCTTGCTCTGTATTAGGCTTTGGGTTAAGGGAGTATTATGGCTGATTTGATCTTCTAAGCAGGCACCACAAATTTCTCCATATCAGCAAGAAGGTGTTTCACTTTCTTATCACTTATATAGTCACTGGAGTAGCACTTTTAATTTTCTTCAGGAACTTTCCTTCGCATCACAACATGGCAAAATTGGTGCGGAAGACCTAGCTTTTGGCCTATCTTGGCTCTCTACATGAGCTTAATCATTTCTGACTTTTGACTTAAAGTGAGAGACATGTGACTTCCTTTCCCTTGAACACTTAGGGGCCACTGTGGGGTTATTAATTGACCCAATTTCAATATCGTGTCTCAGGAAATAAGGATCCCAGAGGAGAAGGAGAGAGACTGGCAACAGCCGGTCAGTGGAGCAGTTAAAACCCACACGTTTATTGTTCAAATTTTGGTCTTATATGGGCGTGGTTTGTGGCACCCCAAAATCATTGTAATGATAACATCAAAGATCATTGAATGAAGATCACTGTTACATATAATAATGAAAAAGATTGAAATATTACAAGAATTACCAAAACGTGACCCAGACTTGAAGTGAGAAAATACTGTTGGAAAAATGGCACTGATAGAGTTGCCCGACGTTTGGTTGACAGAAACCTTTAATTTGTAAAAAAAATGCAATATCTGCAAAGTGCAGTAAAATAAGGTATGCCTATATTTAATTTGTTATGAACTTCTCTTAATAGCATTTTATTAGGAGTGTTGATCCTCATTAATCTTACTAAACTTCTTCACTTTCACAACTCTTCAAAGAACTGGACTCAAAATCCTAAGGTTTGATTGTAGAAAAGTTTTTTTGGAAAGCAGGGGATGGAAAGAGTTACATATTGTTAAGACTTCTCTATTTTTATTCCCAACTAGATATATTTAAGTCATTACCAAAGCCACCCTCTTGAAAATGTAATCCAAAGATCCCTTTCTGTCTTTCCCAGTTATTTCTTTTTATATGCTATTATTGAAGAACTTTCTACACAGATTTCAGGCTTTTAGCTATTGATGAGGGACAGAGTCTTAGGATCTCCTTCAGCAAAGGTGCTTTTCTACATAGAACCTTGGGTTCGTGGCTCTGGTACCAAATTGAAAGGAATCTATACATAATGAAGGAAAGTTTCTAATAAGATGACACAGGGTAAATCCAGGTTATTGAATTAAAGAACTATACACTATTTTGGTAAGAATGAAGACAAATGTGGAAAATAAGGTTTTTAACCGGGGTCTGATCTTCCATCTCTTCTGCAGTTTAAAAAGTATAAAGAACACTTAGTTTTTAAATGGGTAAATTATTGAAAGTGTTGTAGGAGTCAAAAGGCATAAACCATTTTTGAAATCTGTTTTTCCCTGTTCATCTTTTTGAATAGCTGGTTTTGTATTTGTAGATCATTGCCAGATGTCCATAATACGAAACACTCTTACTCAAATGGATATTTCTTGAAAGAGAATCTTGAAGTCAGGTTGAGGCTATCACGCTGTTTACACTAAGATGAAATTCAAACATAAGCAAGGATAATCAGTAACAAATGTTTTTCTTTGTTGATGTATTGAATTACTGTGTGCTATTCTTGCCTTCCTATCTCATTCATTGAAATGACTGATACCAAAAACTGACAGATTTAAGAATGTCATTTTTAGTCTGTCAGCATTATTAAATTAGACTTTGAGTTTTTGTACCCATCCTGATAAAAGGAGAACTTTAAAAAGGTGAAATATATGAAGAATCAAGAAAAGTAAAACATCACCCTACCATATTACCTTTATCTTCTTAGTTCAAACATTTGAGAAAAAATTTCACCAAATTGCTGACAGTGGCATAGGAAAAGTAGAAATGATTATAAGACAGGAAAAACAATTGCTTCTTAGCCTTTTGGCCAAGATCAAGTGTAGTATTTGTTCTTATCAGTTTAGTATAAGACAGGAAAAACATTTTCATATGTGTAGAATTTAAGGCATATGCCATTCTCTGAGGAGAAATCAAGAAAGATAAGCTTTCAACATCTGACCAAATGATTATATTCATACAATAATCATATAATACCCATAGGGCCTCCCACAGCACTAGGAAACATACCTGGCTTAAGCTTACTTTTTTCCTTCTGTATGTAGTTTTGAAAAGTGCAAATTATATTCTAAAATTGCATTATTTCAGTTTAATTTCAGAGAAGTTTTTTTTGGGGGGGGAATTTGAGCCTTTTATTTATTTATTGTGTGTGTGTGTGTGTGTGTGTTTATTAATTTACATCCAAATTAGCATGTAGTGCAACAGTGATTTCAGGAGTAGATTCCTTAATGCCCTTACCCATTTAGCCCATCCCCCCTCCCACAGCCCCTCCAGTAACCCTCTGTTTGTTCTCCATATTTAAAAGTCTCTTATATTTTGTCCCCTCCCTGTTTTTATATTTTCCCTTCCTTTATGTTCATCTGTTCTGTGTCTTAAAGTCCTCATATGAGTGAAGTCATATGATATTTGTCTTTCTCTAATTTCGCTTAGCATAATACCCTCTAGTTCCATCCACATAGTTGCAAATGGCAAGATTTCATTCTTTTTGATTGCCGAGTGATACTCCATTGTATATATATACCACATCTTTATCCATTCATCCATCGATGGACATTTGGGCTGTTTCCATACTTTAGCTATTGTTGATAGTGCTGCTATAAACATGGGGGTGCATGTGCCCCTTCGAAACAGCACATCTGTATCCCTTGGATACATGCCTAGTAGTGCAATTTCTGGGTCGTAGGGTAGTTCTATGTTTAGTTTTTTGAAGAACCTCCATAGTGGTTTTGAGAGAAGTTTGAGAGAAGTTTTATAACCATTCTATGTAATAATAATAACATTACTAATAATAGCAAATGCTTTTCTCTAGAATTTATTATAGGCCTGGCACTGTTCTAAATGCCTGGCAGGGTTTAAATTTTTTAATCCTCATAATGACTCTATAACATAGATAGTATTATTATCACCGTTTTACAGATTAGGGGAAGTTAAGTAACTTCTTGTATGGAGGGATCCCAGGATTATTATACAGGCAGCTTAATTTCAGAGTCTGTTCACTGAACATGCAAACAATTATGTCAGATTTTTTGGTGTCATTATGGTGGAATCAGACCTAGTTTCTAGATCATAAAAAGGACAGATTAAATTAGAAATAGTTGGAACTAAACCCTGCTAGTAGGAGTTGGGGGTTCTCATATCCTTTCTCACTTCTTTCTTTGGTATTGAGACCTTACCATTATGCTGCAGGTTTGGGCTTTAAAATTTGCTTGCTGGCAGTATATGCTGCCACCAGGTGGTGAAGGGTGCCTAGATTACAGGCCTGATGTCCCGTAAGGTAGTCCTCTAAAGAGAGGACACATTATTTTTATGTAATTTTGTTTTTGTTTTTTGAATGAAAAAAAGGCTTCTTCATTACAGAAACTAATCCCAGCTATCGTTTAACTTTATAATTATATTTAAATACATAAACTGAAATGAAACAAAAACTGCAAAAACTGTCTCTCTCAATATTTTGTAACTTAATAATTTATTATTTAACCGTGGCTTTGCTAAGGTTTGAGGAGAATCTTTTATAGCACTTAACATACTGACTCATCTGGACCTTTGTTATTTTAACTGGAAGGTGAGGGAAGTTAAGACTAGATCATGTGTCAGATCTTTTTCTACCTCTAAAATATATCCACAGTCAGGGGGTGCCTGGGTGGCTCAGTCGGTTGGGCATCCGACTTCGGCTCAGGTCATGATCTCACGGTTTGTGAGTTCAAACCCCGCATCGGACTCTGTGCTGACAGCTCAGAACCTGGAGCCTGCTTTGGATTCTGTGTGTGTCTCTCTCTCTCTGCCCCTCCCCTGCTCATGCTCTGTCTCTATCTTTTAATAATGAATAAACGACAAAAAATTTTAAAAAATAAAAAAAAATAATAAAATAAAATATATCCACAGTCAGAATTCCTTGGAGCAGTTGCTTGTTGGTCTGATGATGATTTTTCTACTGAAAGAACTGTCTACTTAATTCTTCAAAGAAAAGCTGGCTTTCTGTCATCAGGTAGTAACTATGACATTAAGTTTTAAAGAGAGGTAGTATGGCATGGCAAGTAGGGTATTCTGAGGCCATACTGCGTGGGTTTTAATCCCAGCTCTGCCACCTCCTAACTCTCTAACCTTATGTAAATTATTTTTTTTTTTTTCAACGTTTATTTATTTTTGGGACAGAGAGAGACAGAGCATGAAGGGGGGAGGGGCAGAGAGAGAGGGAGTCACAGAATCGGAAGCAGGCTCCAGGCTCTGAGCCATCAGCCCAGAGCCTGATGCGGGGCTCGAACTCACGGACCGCGAGATCATGACCTGGCTGAAGTCGGACGCTTAACCGACTGCGCCACCCAGGCGCCCCAAATTATTTAACCTTTTTGTGCCTTAGCTATTTCATCTGTAAAATGGGGATGATAATAATAATACCCATCTTGTTGTGAGGATCAAATGATTAAACATGAAGTACTTAGAATAGTGCTTGGTAGATAATACAGGCTTTTTAAGTGTTTTCCAGCATTTTAATGTATGTATTAATAATAATTGTTAGTATCCATTGTGACTTTTGTACCATCAATAATGTATAGATACACAGAGTGATCTATTTTTATTCTACTTTTTTTTCTTAGTCTTTTGAGCTGTTGTTTTTCTGTTTTTAGCTGGGTTCTAACTACCAGTTATAGTCCATTGTAAGCACTAGCTTCACTTTGGTAATACATTTTGACATATACGAGAGCAAGGTAAACAGATATGGAAATGTATTTCTTTTCAGAAATAAGTTGAAGACACTTCTTCACAACTTGAGAACAGTGACAGGTAGTAAGCCCTAATGCTAAAAACCTCATTGTTTTCCCCCCTTAAGATCAAATTCTATAGAGAGAGAGCAGTGTTTTCTCTATGAGTTTTAAAGGCCTCTCTGTGCATGGTAGGCAGTACTTCTATCATCTTAATATTCAGAATATAAAATTCAGATTATCTGAATATAATAACTCAGACTCCAAATTGTTCCTCATTTGTTTTACCTCTGATGTGAACCCTTGGGACTTTACATGACTTTGCTCCCACATAATCACCACTAATTTTTTTTAGCTCAGTTCAAGTAGAACTCTACCAAATTGTAAACCCTTAATGAAAGCTACTGTGACACCTTACTTTAATTTTTTCCATGCTTCCCAGTAGTGCTTTTTGACTATTTAGGCTTTTTTTATTGGAACATTTATATTTTTACTTTTTAACATTTTTTTTCCTTCCTAGGGTATTACATATGACCATGTAGAATTAAATGTATATTTGAATGGAAAAAATATGCATTGTCCAGCATCAGGTATACGAGGGACGGTGTATCCGGTTGTTTATGGTAAGCTAAAATATTTCTAAATATTATTATATATGTTAACTTTTACTCAACATTTTCCTTGACTTAATAACTGTCATTCAAAAATCTGGACAAGTTGGGGTGCCTGCGTGGCTCATTTGGTTGAGTGTCCAACTCTTGATTTAAGCTCAGGTCATGATCTCACTGTTCATGAGTTCGAATCTCACTTTGGGCTCCGTGCTGACAGTGCAGAGCCTACTTGTGATTCTTTCTCTCTCTGCCCCTTTCTCTGCCCCTCTCTGGCTCTCTCTGTCAAAATAAATAAATAAACTTAAAAAAAAATCTGGACAAGTTAATAAGGACCTTTTTTTATGAAATGTACTGAGTAGGATACTATAATCCCACTTCGCAGTTCTAAGGAAGCTTTTTATTCCCCATGTATTAAAAAACTGCCCAAAACATTGAATATAATTAAATATATAATAACCATATTCCCTTTTTGAATCATGTATTCATATATTCTAGAACATTCCAAAAAGCTTTACTGAATTTACAAAGCTCTTTCTGCCAGTTATTAGGGAGATTTAGGTTACCAAGAAATGTAATTGTAAAGAATATTGTGGAACTATAGATGGGAATTTTATGTAGATTGACCATTAGTCACCTTTATAAAATTACTTGAGTGTTAAAACTCTTTTGAGAGAGAGAGAAAATTGTGACTTTGAATAGTATTGATATGTATGTATTATAATTTCTGTACAAGTATATCCCTTCAAGAATGGGTTACTTAAGAGATGACTCTATACCATTTAATTACTTTAATTTTTATTACAGAAAATTTCAAACATGTGTAGAAGTAAAATAGTATAATGAACGCTCATGTACCCATCACCCAGCTTCAAACAATTATCAACTTGGAGCCAGTAACGCTTCATCTACCCCCTAATACTGATGCTCCTCCTGTTTTTCACCTTCCCTCCTTGGATTATTTTGAAGTAAATGTCAGATGTTATATATCATTTTATTCATAAATATTTAGTATGTGTCTCTAAAAAGGAAGGTGTCTCTCTTTATAGAAAATAACAAACATAAGCACAGTGCCTTTGTCACTATTCTGCTTTATTTTTTATGTTGCCAACTTTAAAGCAACAAGTATCTGATTTTTCTGCCTGTGGTTTTAATAGATCTAAAAGTATTTTCTCATTTAATTACTTTAAATTTTTAGATTTGAGCTATAATAAAAACTAATTACTAATTTTTATAGTAATTTATTAGAAAGGTAGCAGTGTTAGTGATGACAGACTGGGACATCAGAAAAGTATTCAAATAACAAATGTAAATATTTAATAATAGGATAATAATAACCAAAGCCTATGATTTACTTTTTTTTAACTTTTTTTTTCTTTAATGTTTATTTATTTTTGAGAGAGAGAGAGAGAGACAGACAGAGTGTGAACAGGGGAGGGGCAGAGAGAGAGGGAGACACAGAATCTGAAGCAGGCTCCAGGCTCTGAGCTGTCAGCACAGAGCCTGACACGGGGCTCGAACCCACGGACCGACCGTGAGACCATGACCTGAGCTGAAGTTGGACGCTCAACCGACTGAGCCACCCAGGCACCCCATATGCTTTACTTTTTAGTTAAGGTTTTCATTAGTCTTCTTTTCTCCTAAAAATTACTTTCCAGTGATTTTACCTTCTCTGTCTTTGCATGCAAAAGTGTATTTTTAACTTTGATTTCAGTTAGTTTCCTTGCCATATTGGGCAAGCCTAAAAGCAGTTCCTTTAATTACTTAAATAATTGGAAATGTAGCTTAATATTCTAAAAAACTGAGTCTGAAATAAATATCAGTAGAATGAATTACACAAATTAGTTTAGCAAATAAAATTTTTATTCCAAATTATTTCTTTGATTCAGCATAATTTTTAATGTAGTAAAGTTATAGATAGTAAATAATATATATTTTATAAATTGACATTAGTAAATTAGTCAAATTAAGCCAAATATTTTAATAGTTTGTTACTATCACAGATAAAAATAAAACTTAAGGGGCACCTGGCTGGCTCAGTTGGTAGAGTATCGAACTCTTAATCTCACGGTCGTGAGTTTGAGTCCCATGTTGGGTATAGAGATTACTTAAAAATAAATAAATATGGGGCGTCTGGGTGGCTCAGTCGGTTAAGCGTCCAACTTCAGCTCAGGTCATGATCTTACAGTTCGTGGGTTCAAGCCCTCATCGGGCTCAGAGCCTGGAGCCTGTTTCTGATACTGTGTCTCCCTTTCTGCCCCTCCTCTGCTCATGCTCTGTCTCTCTCTGGCTCTCAAAAATAACTAACTAACTAACTTAAATTCCTTTACCCTTTATCCCTCCTTCCCATCTCTAATCCTAGATCCATCCATTCATTTTGTCAGCTCTTAACACAGAACTTATGGAGAGGAAAAAAACATGGCACACTCAAAAAGAGTGTCATTACAAAGTTTTGACTTCCAGCTTAAGCTGTCAACGTTTTTTGACAATTCTTTTACATTCTACACATTGACTATGCTTCTTGAATTCCCTTCTCATTCTCCACAGATGACCTTATCTTCAACTTTATTAAGAATGAGGCTAGGGGCGCCTGGGTGGTGCAGTCGGTTAAGCGTCCGACTTCAGCCAGGTCACGATCTCGCGGTCCGGGAGTTCGAGCCCCGCGTCAGGCTCTGGGCTGATGGCTCAGAGCCTGGAGCCTGTTTCCGATTCTGTGTCTCCCTCTCTCTCTGCCCCTCCCCCGTTCATGCTCTGTCTCTCTCTGTCCCAAAAATAAATAAACGTTGGAAAAAAAAAAAAAATTAAAAAAAAAAAAAAAAGAATGAGGCTATTAATGGTGCACTCCACCTTCCCAGCCTTACCCTCCTAAAGCTTTTCTGGATTAGATCCAATCTTGCCTTCTTTCTGTCCCATCTTAGATGAAGTGGTATGCTTCATGTTAAAATAAACAGTGTATAGTCTGGATTTCAAACTCCCCAACTCTGGGACTTCACTTTGTCAGTTATTTCACTTATATCTCCTGTCAGGAACCTCTCTCTTCAATGCCTATGAAAATTCTAAGTCATCCTTATCCCCCAAAACCCTTCCTAAATTCATATCCCTCATTAGCCCTCTATTTACCCTGCTTTATATGGCTTCGTTTTTACACCATATGCTATATCATTCAGTAGTTCTTCAGCCCTGTCTAACTGCCTTTAGCACCACTTCACTGAAACCACCCTTGTTAAAATCTCTAGTGGCTTCATGAATGTCAAATTCAGTACTTAACTTTTTCCTGCATTTATTATGAAATACACATAGTTTAGTAATGTGCATTAATCATATTTCTGTAGTTTAACAAGTAGCTATGAAATGAACATTCATATTATTACCACAGTCAACATCATGAATATATTCATCCCTCCTAAAAGTTTCCTTCTGTTCCTTTATAATCCCTCCTGCTCGCCTCTCCCACCCCAGCCCCAACCAAGCAATGCCCTGATCTACTTTCTGTCACCACCGATTATCTGAATCATAAGTTTGTATTATTATTTTTTTCTCTGGCTTATCTCAGCATAATTATTTTGAGATCTACGTGGTAGCATGTATCAATAATTCATTCATTTTAGTTGCCAAGTAGTATATATGGTTCATTGTGTGCTTATATCACAATTTGTTTTTCTCTTCCCCTGTCAATGGATATTTAGGTTTTTTCCAGTTTGGGGCCATTACAAATAAAGCTGCTATGATCAACATTCATGTACAAGTCTTTGTGTGGATATATACGTTTATTTCTCTTTGGTAAATGCTGGTAAAAACATGTAGAAGGGCGCCTGGGTGGCTCAGGCAGTTAAGTGTCCAACTCTTGATTTCTTCTCAGGTCATGATCTCATGGTTCATGAGATCAAGCCTCATGTCGGGCTACGCACTGACAGCATGGAGCCTACTTGGGATTCTCTCTCTCCCTCTCTCCCTGCCCCTCCCTGACTTACACTCTTTTTCTCTCTCAAAATAAGTAAACATTTAAAAAAAAAAATGTAGAAGCTGAATAAGGACTGCAGTCTAGTTAACAGTACTGTATTGATGTCAGTTTTCTGGTCTTGAGATCATACTGTAGTTATGTAGCCTATTACCATTAGAGGAAGCTGGATGAAGGGTACATAGAACTCTTACTATTTTTGCAACTTTTTTGAATCTATAATTATTTCAAAATAAAACAATTTTTAAAAAGTAATACATTTTAATGTATAAAATTAAGAAAATACAGGTAGGCAAATAAGGAAAAAGTTAAGTACTCTTATTCACACTATCTGATTATTAGTAATATTTTGGTATATAGCCTTTCATTGTTTTTGATGGATTTGGTTTTACATTGTGGTTATTTTTATCAAGTAGGATTATGTTTTGTAACCTGGACAGCAGATGTATTTATTCTTTTTGCCTGTTAACACTATGATATTATAAAGACAGTTTATTTTATAATTGTGTATTCTTTCTAATTAAGGCTTCTAATTTCTTTCTTTCTTTTTCTGTCTCTAGTTGATGACAGTGCAATTTTGGATTGCCAGTTCAGTGAATTTTATCACACTCCTCCACCTGGTTTTGAAAAAATATTATTTGAACAGCAGATCTTCTGAGTGTATTTGTTTTTGAAACTTGTGTTTCTGCACTTTTAAAAGTGTTTACCATTTAATAAAGCTTTACCTGACCTGTAGATGAAAATATATTCTTAAAAATACGCTTGTTAATGTTGTTTAAGGAACCAGTGTATTCAAGATACCATCTGGAAGTTGTGATTTAAAATACTTCTGTTCTGTGAGATGAAATCTGCATTTTGGACAGTTTATTTAATTGTTATTTAAATAAATATAACTGTGGGTTTGATTAACAGTATTAAGTAGAAATATGTATATAGATATTTAAAAGGGAATCTTTCTTACGTAAAGTATTTGTTTTTATAATAGAGATGTAGCGTTGGGTGGGTTTTTCTCATTCTGAAATTTAGACCTCATTATTTTAAGTCTGCAGTCTAATAATTTTGTGTCTTGGTGTTCTTTTTTATACAGAGGATAACAAAGTGACAGAAAATATATCATTGGGAACTTCTTTTTTGGTGATTTATTTACTGTAAAACGTACCACTTTTCTTAAACTTTAAATTGTTTATTTTGTTTGTCATTGCTTTTGATTTGCTTTGTGAAAGGAGATAAATGTTTCAGTAAATGTCAGAGCATTTTGTTGAAGACCATCATGCTGTGTTACTTCAATACCAGAGTAAGTAGTGGTTGATTGGTGATGTAGTATACACTGGCAGACATTTAGAATAGTATGCTGCTTTAAACTTAAATATAATGAGATTATTCTTTTAAGGACTTTTATTTAAATATGTGTTTTTCTGTAAGGAATAATAAAATAGTAATTAAGGAATATTTAGTACTATACTAAATACATGTTCTTCCTGTTTTGTTAAGTGTACATTAAATGCACTTCATCCTTGATTATTTCAGAAGTTCAGAGATCAGTGAATCCTCTCTGTGACCTTGAGCCTTTGCCAAGTCTTCAGTTAAGATTCCTTTAATGCTCTACTAACCTGAATTAATCACTGTACTCAGTGATTGGTACAGTTTCCTTTTCTAGAGAGCATGCCGAGGATGTGTACATTTCCCTCCTTTGGCAACAAGTACAAAGTGTGTTGTGCTAGAAAAACATGGGCATTAGAATCAGAGATCTGAACTGTAATTTTGCCATCTAATCCCATTACTTCCTCAGCTGAGTTCCTTAGCTCCCCTGAGCTCAGGTTCCCCATTTATAAAAGGGATACTCATAACTTGCTTGATAAGATTCTGTAACTAATTAAGCTAATATCTGAAAAACATCTGAATCATCATAGGCACTTAATAAATGTAGCTTCCTTGTTGACTCTTAAGAAGTGGTTTTCATAGTGTTCTCAGACATCAGCACTGCCTGGGAACTTTATAGAAATGCACATTCTCAGGCCCTGCCCCAGACCTACTGAATCAGAAACTGCCAGGAACAGCACCCAGGAATCTGTGTTTGAATAAGCCTTTCAGGCGATTCTAATACACGCTAAAGTTTGAGAACCACCGCTCAGGAGAGAATGATTGCCTACTATAAAATTTCTAAGGATTTAAGGCTATTTTTGACCCCTAGGCAAGAGAATCCTACACAGTGTTTATTGTTTGTTTGGTAGATAAAACTGTGACAGTATGCTTTGAAAACATAAATATACTTAAGTAAATTTATATACAACCTAAATTTACCTCTGAAGATACAGAATTGAACTAACTATATTTATGCATTTTTGTCTGATGTTCTGTCTTAATTTGTAAAGAACATGGTTACTTTGGAAAGCAAATTAAAATGACTACTGTTTGCTGTCTTTATTAATGTTATCTACCTCTTAGTTATTTTTTTTTAAAAGCCAACCTTTTTTTAATCATATTTTTTTCTCAAGGCTATCTTTTCTGCCTCTAGTCATACAAAATAGGCACAATACTAAAAATGATGCATGGGTTACGTCCTCGGCAACAGTTTGATGAAGTATAGATGTGTGTTTTTAATCTGCAGGTATCTAAGTCCTCTTAGGAAAATTACCTCCCTAAACCTATAACCTCAGTCTAACCTTGAGAAAAATGTCAAATTCCAGTAGAGGGACATCCTATAAAATACTTGAGGAGTACTTCTCCAAACTGTCAAGGTCATCAAAAACAAAGTTGGAGAAACTGTCATACCCAAGAGGAGCCGAGTCCAAGGGGATATAACAAGTAAATGTAATGTGGGATCCAGGGACAGAAAAAAGACATTAGGTAAAAACTCTAAGGAAATATGAATAATCCATGGATTTTAATAATATAAAGTATCAATATTCATTTATTAACTGTAAATGAATAAATACATTTATCCTGTAAGATGTTTATAACGGGAGAGACAGAGAGGGGATATATGGAAACTACTACCTTATCAATTTTCCTGTAAATCTAAACTAAAATAAAAAATAAAGTCTTAAAAAATTACATTGAGCTAAGAGAAACTCAAAAATAAAGCCTTTCATGAAGCCATCATGAAGAATGTTAGTACAGTATAAACCCATAGCTTAAATATTTAATGATAGCTAAATATAGACATAGATGGAACATAAAACACAAATACCTGCATTTGTTCCTGGCTAAAGAGACCATGCCCAGTGTCTTTCTGTATACTGCAGAAATCCATTGGTACTAGTGTAGCTTTCCACAGTCAGGTTGAAAATCAATGATTTATTATCCATGTTACTTCAGTAATTTCAGTATTAACAAGGATTTGTAATGTTAGATATGTGAAACAAAATAGTTTTTTTTAGATATAAATTATCTTTTTCCCTTCAATTTTATTTTTTTTTATTTTCCATAATGTATTTTTTTAATAATTTAATCCAAATTAGCACATGTGCAACAACGATTTCAGGAGTAGATTACTCAATGCTCCTTACCCATTTAGCCTATTCCCTTCCCACAACCCCTCTAGCAACCCTCTGTTTGTTCTCTATATTTAAGAGTCTCTTATGTTTTGTCCCCCTCCCTGTTTTTATATTATTTTTTGTTTCCTTTCCCTTGTGTTCATCTGTTTTGTATCTTAAGTCCTCATATGAGTGAAGTCATATGATACTTGTCTTTGACTAATTTCGCTTAGCTGAAACAGAATCTTTTCATCAGTTTACATACTATAAACCAGAAAAAGTTTGGTTTTTAATTGCCTTTGGCTCATTAGTTAAGGTAATTTGAACATATTTTTAACTTGGATTACAGACTATTATAAATTAATTTGAGAATGGTAGAAAACAATTTGACTTAGGGCTTTTCTAAATCATTAACAAAAACAGACATATGCATGATATTGTTGCTCAGATATTGTTAACTTTATTTTCTAACGTAAGTCTAGATATGGACCAGCAAAAGCATAGCTAGAAATGCAAGTGAGATCTTGGACGAGTTTTGATAAAATACATTAAATCAATAACTTCTTTTAGAAAATGTAAAAACACTAGATACGATTGTGAGGAGAAATCTGCAATCAAAACTCTAGAATTTCCCTGTACACAGATATAACCAAACCTAGAACTCATAAATGGAATATAATCAGCTACCACTTATATTAATTTGCACTAATTATGCAACCTGGCAGGGAAATACTGTTGGGAGCCAATTGGGCTGTTCATGTGAATGAGTAGAAACATAATAGTAGAATCAATTAACTATTGTTCTTCCATTTACTGAATAAGATATGAGATCCCCTTTCAACTTGCTCTTTTAAAATAACTGTGACAAAATTATTGAAATAGTGGGTATAAACACAAAATAATGTTAAATATAATTAGCAAAATAAATGAAATCACACACTATCTATCCAAGAGTTCTCTAGAAATTTAAAGGAAAAGTTGTCCCAGTATTGGCTGAAATGTGTAATCTGTGGTTATATAGGAATCATTACAACATAGTCATTCAACAATTGTATCATTTATGTGTGTTTCATAAATACTTAAGGTAGTCCTGCCCTCAGGGAGCTCTACTAATTGCAGTTCGTAAGTTTGGCACTCTAGAATACCAAAGATATATTGGTAAATGGAAAAAAAAAAGTTGTTAAATATTTCTGTGTATAATACGAGCCAATAAAAACCTGGGGTCTAGGAAAAAGTATGAAGTAGTATACACCAAAATATTATATCTTGGAAATAGGATTACAGGAAACTGTCTCTTTTATTGATAAATTTATCTGGTAAATTGTTAGTTGATACTGTGACAGGCACCAGCAGAAGCCTGATGCCCAGACCCAGGAAAGTTAATAGTGGTAATGAAACTGCATGTGCAGTAGACCAGTTCTAGTAGATACTACGTTTTTAAAAGGACCGTGATAAACTAGTGAAGGCTACCAGGCTACTGAGGTTCTGCTTAATCCATGAATGAATGGATGATTATGGGAATGTTAGAAGAAAATATTCAATTCACTGGACTGTTGAAGCCACAGTGACTTGTCAGATGCTGATCATCATAAGAAGGAGGCTAGAAATAAAGCCAAAAAATTCTATAGATTCATCTGTGTGATTCTCACAAATGTATTTCAGGAAAGGCAATCATAGATGTGTTTCTGATACCTCATCGTTCATCACCTGAAAAAAATGGGTAGATTTATTCTCTGTTGCCCTGGAGGCTGAATTATTTGGAAGGTACAAGGAAGCAGATTGCAGTTTAAGATGGGAAAGAACTCTATTCACCACTGAAATTGCTGCCTTGCAAAGAAATGGACTTCTGGTCCCTGGAATTGTTCTAACAGTTGTTTTAAAATGTAGGGTTTTTTACTGAGGTATCGTGGGCCAACAGATCAGGGGATGACTGCCCTTGAAAAAGCTAATTTGTTACAGTTCCCAAGAGGAAAGGACACACCATGCCACACAGGCACACACAGGTAAGCGTCAGGTTAGGTCAGGAGGCAGAAGGAACAAGGGGAAAGCAAAGCGTGAGCCCTTATTGTGGTTTCCGTGGTCAAGACAGGGTAAACACACTTAGGATTTGCTACTTTAAATAGGTTCAGCAGGCTCTGGGGTATAGAGGCTGTCTCAAATTGTCTGGTACCTTGCCCTGTGGTGATTAGGACAGGGGAGTATTGACAGGGCAGTGTATGAGCCAGATAGACGAGGTGGGGCTTTGGATTGGTTGGTTTGTAAATGAAAGGATCCTGGCTGTCTCTAGGAATCAGCTAACTGGGGGTGGGGCTGTGCCTCCCCTGTCAGTAAGGCCCCCAGATGCCAAAGCATCAGGAATACAGGAAATAAGAGCATGTAATGAGTACACAGGCTGGTTTACGTAAATCATAAATATGGTTCCTGCTTGGTTAGAGGCTGAAGTAGATGTTGTCTAAAACTGTGATTTGAATTCATTCAGACTGTTGCCAAGTCTCCAAATAAGTTAAACTGAAAACAAAGAAATGGGAGATGTAAGAGT